TGGATTGTAAAGTTGGTTTGAACTGCAAGACTAGTGGTTCAAGCTCATCAGCTACTCCTTGGAAACCCTATACAGGGTCGCTACAGGTTGGAACCGACTCAATGGCACTTAACAACAACAATAGCAATTTAGAATTATTTCCTGAGCCTCCTCTCTTCCTTTCTACTTGTATTCTTTTCCTTCAATGACAGATGAGTTGAGGAAGGTTCCAAGCAAAATATTTTCCCCAGGATGTTTGCAGTGGAACTGGCACATTTGGGCATTGGAACCCTCATTCTCAATCACCTGTGAGGCTAGGTGTAAAATATCTGAAATAAAGAGAAACCGTCTCCAGAACCACAGATTTAAATGGTGTGGGCGAGTGGGAGGTCTTCAGGAAAGTGTGTGAGAGGCTGCTAATACTCAAGGGCAGTGGTAGAATTCTCACCTTCCATGTGGGAGACCCAGGTTCGATTCCTACCCACTGCACCTCATGTGCAGCTATGATGCTGACCAACTTTCAGCAGAGCTTCCAGACTAAAACGAACTAGGAAATAAGATCTCGTGCTCCATTTCTGAACAATCAGCCAATGAAAACTCTATGAATCGCAACAGCACTAGCCACAACCAATCACAGGACAGGACCAGACAGCATTTCGTTCAGCTGTGCATGAGTCAGGCGCCAACTCAGACACCACTAACAACATCCACTCACTGTCTTTGAGTTCTCAGTGCATGGCCTTCCAGGAAAAAATGTGTAGCTCAAATGTCAATGCATTTCTTTCCTGCTAATATGTCTTGGCTGACATTAACCATGTTGTTGTTGTTAAGTACCGTGGAGTCGGCTCTGACTCATAGTGACCCTGCACAGGGTTTCCAAGGCTGTAAATCTTTACAGGAGCAGATCACCTCATCTTTCTCCCGTGAAACCGTTGGTAGTTTCGAACTGCGGATCTAGAGGTTAGCACCCTGGCTCATAACCACTATGCTACCAGAGCTCCTTGACATTAACCATGTGTATATTTAAATAGAGTCTTGGTGTGGTGCTGTGGGTTAATGCACCAGACTGCAAAGCCGTTTGAACTACAAGGTGGGTGGTTCAAGCTCACCAGCTGCTCTTTGGAAACCCTATACAGGATGGCTATGGGTTGGAATCGACTCGACGGCACTTCACAACAACAATAACATATTTAAGATAATTCTCTTTCAATAACAAGACAAATAGATGCTTCCAAAGACTAGTGCTTAAAAAAAAAAAGAAAGAAAACCTTTAAATCACCCTCATTTCTTTCACAACAAGTACAACTCTAAAATGCCTATTGTCTCCTCCCTTCCCTTGACTTTAGTCTCATTGTCTTTTTGTCAGCAGTGTGGACTTTGTTTGGGGCCAGTGAGTTAGTTGAAATGGGCGTTGATTCATTAGTTTGTCTGATGACACCTAGGACAATTTAGAAAAAAATCATGCTAGTGTGGGGGGCCAACTTGCACAGCTCCCCAGAAGCATAGCCAGACAGTGTGGCCAGGTGAAGCCCAGTCATGCTGTGTGTGGGCCTTGGACTCACCTTGGGTCATTCAGGAGCTGTGTTGTGGAATTCCGAGGGTGGGTTATCCAACAAGCAGGTAAGTACGGGTTTATTTGTACTTGCTTATTAATCTGCAGTGAACATGTGCAGATTAGTAAGCAAACCCATGCTTATCTTGTTTATTGGCCACTCATTCCATCCATGTCAGGGATAATACATTTAAAGAGGCTTTGATTCTGTAGGAAGTGTTATGGTGTTGTGAAAGAGAAAAGATGCTAGCCAGACCTAAAAGCAGAATCTTTAAAATGGTGAAAAAAGGTGAAATTGTTGACTACAGATTAGTAGGTAAGCACAAGTAAGCCCATTTTTACCTTGCCTACTGGGGAGTCCAGAGTTTTTTAAACTGCAAAGTTGGTGGTTCAAGCTCACCAGCTGCTCCTTGGAAACCCTATTCAGGGTCGCTATGTGTCAGAACCGACTTGACAGCACTTAACAACAACTGGGCAATCCAACACAGCTCATGGTTGTGAACCATAGGGTTCTCTGGCTGATTGTCAGAAGTAGATCTCCACGCCTTTCTTCCTAGTCTGTCTTAGTCTAGGAGTTTTGCTGAAACCTGCTCAGCATCATAACAACACATAGCCTCCACTCGCAGATAGTGCTGCACGAACGAACCCACGTCTCTCTCATGGAAGGCAAGAGTTCTACCACGTCAGCCATCACTGCCCTCTCCTCCTCGGCTAAGCCTTTTGCTGTCACATTGGCAAAACTAGAAAATGTTTTTGAGGAAAATGAGAAACTGGAGCGGCCTTAAACAAAGAGTTTTGGAGGATGGTACTTAGGTACCACCATACTATTGTCAGAAAAGTTGAGGAAAATATGTAACATTCCAGAAAAGCATTACAGGAACAGTAAAACAGAATACGTAAAGATGGGAGACGATACAAAAATTCAGAATCTTAATACTAAGGTATCAAAAGTGGACTACTCAGGCAATTGCATTCACCACTTGCCTTCAAAAAGATAAAACTTTTGTTCCATTGTCTGTTCACTGTTGAAGGTGGATTTATTTAACGTAGGTTGTTATAACCAATCCAGTGTCTAGCAGCTGGTATTAACTGTAGTTCAATTGATGGTGTTTTAGACGGTAGAGCTGCCACTGGGTGAAAGGGCAAATGAATAGATTTGAATCAAAGGAATCCAGAATTAGTTAGCTTAAAGACAAATCTCTCAATACCAGTAAACTAGGAGAACAATCAGAAAGAAAGAAAAAAAAATCACATGTAAGAAAAATTAAGATTCATTTGGGACAACATAGACAGGAATAAGCTACAGGTGATCATAATTCCAAAACAGGAAGAGACCAAGAAAAACACAGAAAAGATAATGGAAGAGCTGCTGGAAGCAAATTACCCTAACATCATGAAAGATGAGAAAATAAACATTCAAGAAACTGAACGAAACCCAGGTAGGATACTCCCCAGTAGAAAATCAACAAGATGTGTCATAATAACACTTTCCAAAATCAAAGAAAAGGAAAGAATCCTGAAAACAGTCTATGAAAATGGAAATGCAATCTACAAAGGAAAACCAATATGACTAATTTTAGCTTTGCCGACTCATCGTGATCTTGTAGAACTGAGTAGAACTGCATTAGAGGATTGGCAAGGCTGCCATCATTGGGGAAGCAGATCTTCTCTCTCACCAGATCTTTCCTCCCACGGAGGCACTGGTGGGTGTAAGTTGATGGCCTTTCCGTTAGCAGCAGCACCACCAGGCCTCCTGACCTCCCCACCTCACAACAACAAAACCAAAACTCACTGTCATCAAGTCGATTCCAACTCATATAGTGACCACATATAGGAATTCTGTGGCTGTAAATGTTTACCAGACAGAAAGCCTCACTGAGCGGCTGGTGGGTTTGAACTGCAGTTAGCCATCTAGTCCTTAGCCTACAAACGTCACACCGAGGCTCATTAACCTCCTCACCTGTTGTTACCAAGTCGGTTCTGACTCAAGGTGACCCTGTATAGGGTTTCTGAGGGGCAACTGGTGAGTTTGAACCACCGGCCTTGTGGTTCAAATGGACCTTATGGTCGAGTGCTTATCCTACATGTAAAATACCTCCTTGTGCAGAAACTTCACTAGACCCTAGCAAAGCACATCACACCCCAACCCAGTGCTGCAAAGACAAATCCGCCCTTTAGGACAGGTCCAGATTGAGGGAAGCTGATAGGTCACCATAACTGCAGACCAGAGAAGCCCAGTGGTCCAGGGTAGATTAAAGCATCTCTGGTAGTGTAGTTGTTACAAGTTGGGCTGCTAACCTCACGGTCAGCAGTTCGAAACTACCAGCAGTTTCATGAGAGAAATATGAGGCTTTCTGCTCCCATAAAGATTTACAGCCTCAGAAACCCTGTACAGGGTTGCTATGGGTCGGAACCGACTCAATAGCACTTAACAACAACAACACAGAAGTGATGCATTTGGACAGTGGATCCTTCTTGGATTAGAGTCCGGCTACAGCCACATATTTACTGTGTATCTTGTCAAGTTCCATAACCTTCCTATATTTTTCCCTGTCTGCAAAGTGGGAATAATACATGCAACTATTTCATAATGTTGTTCTGAGGAGTAAATAGAAATTAAATGACACAAGAGACCTGATCAATATTAGCTGCTATCACCATCATCATCATCATTGGACCCCCAGTGACACAATCCTTAAGTGCTTGGCTGCTAACCAAAAGTTGGCAGTTCAAACCTACCCAGTGACTTTACAGGAAAAAGGCCTGGTGATCAGCTCCTGTAAAGATTGTTGTTGTTGTTAGGTGCCTTGGAGTCCATTCCAACTCTTAGAGATCCTGTATAGATTACAGCCTAGAAAATGCCAGGAGACATGGGTCAAAAATCAAAGACAGTATCATCAACAACTAGCTCTTAGGTGTGACGTCACATCCTCTTTGAAGGAGCAACATCTCCATGAAAGAAGAAGCAACCTCAGTCCCCACCCACAGCCACTGAGTCATTGCAAATCATTGTTCCCCACTGGACTGAGTAGAATTGCCCATTGTTTATCTGAGACTAAATCTTCACAGCCCTACCTTGCCCGTTAGCCCAATGCTTAACCCACTACACCATCGGGACTCTTTGAGACCTCAGTATTGAGGTCAAATTATTGGACCACAAAGCCACAGTATGATCAAATTCATTTCAGTGGCTGATATCAGCCTCTCTGATATGTCCAGCACCAGTCTCAGCCATTTGCAATATCCTGGTCACAGAAAACACGCAGCGGTCCCACACACCATCCTTCCCACCACCCAGGAAACTCACACCGTTGATATCAACCTGCCTATCTTCTACTATTTTCTTCACTGTGCCCCACTCACATATCTTCCCCCAAAGACATTCTTTCCATATTTATTTCCCACCCTCTCACAACCTGGGATCAGCTACCCTAATTGTCTGTGGTGTGTTTGCCCCTCCTTTTGGCAGGTCATTGTGCTGTCCACACGACTCCTGAAACCACTTAACATTCCTGAGCTGCTATTTGCAACTGACCGGCTGCACCCAGACCTGGGCTTCTGAACCTCTGTAAAGGAGATAAGACCGAAGAGAGCGGGAAATACCTGTATTATTGGCTGTCACCAGTCAAGATATGCCTCCCAAACCAAAGTGCCCGTATTACTAAGTATGGGTATGACTGCATTCTGCATTTTCATAACCAGGCACAGAGGTACTTTACTTGGATTGCTGTAGTTCTCCTAAACAACCTTGTTTTTTGTTCTTATTTTTTATTAGTGTCAAGCTATCGTTCAGCCGACCTAATGAGTGATAATTCCCACTTGTCCTTAACCTTCTTATTTGTAAGCTTCTTGAATCCACCTGCAAGTTCATTCATTCTGAATAAACAAACACCTGTTGGCAAGTATGTTGGTAGATTGCACACGTTCTGATTTGAAATTGCTCAAGGAGAAACTAGACATGTGTTAAGAGGAAAAATGTGAGGAAAGATATGGTTTTTCTTAATATTATATAACTAAGTAGGGACCATATGCAAGTAGGGCCGAGGCTTTGCTTCTCTCTGATTTGCAACATCTCTGAAAAGGTGGAGAAGAGACAGGAGTGGCCAGGACAGTTTGTGCAGGCAGTCCCAGTGCATTGTAAATCATCTGCCATCACAAAGGGCGGCTTTGTTCCAGCTCATTTGCTGCTGGGCAGGGCTGCTGGACTGTTTGGGATGCTGGTGGGGGAGAGGCAGGTTGGGGAGCTGACTTTGCCTATAAAAGGTCCCTCTCCTCCTGAAGGAAGACCCCAACAGAAGATATTTGAACCCCAGGAGGTCTAGGTTGTAACCTCAATCATTATGACCTTTACGATTTCAAATTTGTATTGAAATGCAAACCTCTTTTTTCTGGAAGTCTAAGTTTTCCTCTGGCCATAAAAGAAAAACCTCGACTCATCTACTTTTTATGTAATTAATTACCAAAATTATTAAGAACTCTGGAAAACAATGAACGGCCTTGAAACCACACATGTGTAAGTGAATGTTGGATGGAAATTCCCGACATTCCCATCAGAAGTAAAGATCAAACAGGTGGAGGAAATAAAATGTAAACCCAAACATTCAGGTCTCTGTAGTTCTCTACAAAACACTGTCATTTTATGAAAAATAAAAACAAAAACAAAAAACTGTGAGATTGGAAGTCATTCTAACATGTAATCAAAGCAAGGTTTTGTTTTGTTTTTTGTATACACACAGATGTTCTCTTTCCTGCTCAAGTGTGTGTTCCATCTAAGACCAGTTCTTTCATGGTCTTGAAATATGGGGCATGTCCAATACTTGTATTCTGCTCATTGAAGGTCTTGAATTTGAATAAGGAAGAAAATTACAGCTGTCCAAAAGAAATTCTAATTAAAGCAGAGAAAATTACTGTTTTCGAAAATTAAAAATTAAGAATCAACCTACTATGTGATTCATCTGTATTCATTCATTCATTCATGAAATATTGGGTGAGTTCCTGTCCTGTCCCAGACATTCTGCTTGGTGAATGAGGTGGTGAACCAGCCAGACGCATACATTCTTGATTCTATGGTCCTCATCAGAAGGAGCAGCTGGAACTGGGCTGCCAGGTGAGTATACATTTAAGATTAGCTTTAAACCATGTGTTTATATGCAGAGGAAATGTTCTGGAAATATACAAACCAAACTGCTAAGGAATGGGAAAGCTAAGCAAAGGAGAAATCTCTCTCTATCCTTCTCTTTTGTTTGAGTTCTTTTGGGGGGCGGGCAGTAAATGTATTTGGTGTCCTGGTGTGGCTCTGTGGGCTAATGTTTCAGACTGCAAAGTCCTTTGAACTGCAAGGTCAGTGGTTCAAGCTCACCAGCTGCTCCTTGGAAACCCTCTACAGGGTCGCTATGGGTGGGAAACAACACTATGGGTCGGAAACAACTCGACGGCACTTAACAATATCAGCAAATGTATTTGTGTATTACTTTGGAGATTTTAACAAACACCTTTATTTATTTTTTTCTTAAATGTTTTTATTGTGAATTATGTGATAGTTTACATGGGAGAACATTAATTTTACATTCATTCGATCATATATCATCTCATTGCCATGGTTACAATCACCTCCAAGCAATCCTTCCCCCGTACCCCCCAGGTCTTCAGCACACAGTCACTTTCCCTCTCTGGATCTAAAGTCTCCAGCTGCTCCATCACTCCATGTCATCATCTCTGGCTCCGTTTCAGGCATCACTGCTTCTCTGGGTAGGGTCCTGCTCTCTGCTCTTCTCCCTTGATGGTCCTAGGGACCTCCGCTCCTAGACTGAAAAGTTAATCACTCCCGTCCTTGCTATAAAACGTCCACCTTTACATTTCCAACCCTCACAATCAGTCCTGATAACAGTTATTCACTATTGTATTACAAGAGACCCGCCTGCATTTCATTGCATCAGCCCCGCCTAGTCAGATTGAATACTACTCACTGGAGATTCTACCTTCCTCCAGGCCCTCTGGATCTAGGTTCCCTCTTGAAAGCTTGTAAGCCAGTCACTTCTTGCCTTTGTAGCCTCCCACCCCCCATTTTGGGTAGCCAATGTCCAAGTTGTCCATCCCTGTCTACTCTGTGTGTCTGGAGGGGGTGGAGATGATTCTTGCTGTAAGGACTTGTTCCCTCTTTTGAATTACTGCTTCCATAGGTGTTAAAGCACCTTTATTTTTATTTAAAATGAATATTCTAAAACTTCTACTCTGAAATGAGAAAGGGAGAATCTTACTGACTATATATGTTATCCATCAGCTATTATTGAACTGAGTATTAAAGCAAATGTGCCCAGATGTCATCTCCAGGCTGTGGAGTGACATGTCACAAGTTTGGTTGATACTCACCCTGTTTCATTTATGTGGTCACTGGTTGGAGGGACTGAGCCAGATGCGTAATCAGGTGGTGGGAAGGTTTGGAGAAGAGGGTTGTTGAAGGAAGTCTGTAATAAGCAGAGTTTGGTTTGGATAAGAAAACAGGAAGCTCCTTGATTAAAAAGAAGGGGGAAAATAATATAAATCCTGCAAAGATACGAAAAAGAAAGGGACTCAAGAAATGGAGCCTTGTCCCCAGGCAGGAGCCTCCTGGAACCTGGCTGGTATTGGCTTGTGCTTGAACTGATTGCCACCAGAGCGGGAGGACTAGGGAGAGCACTGGGCCAAACTCTCCATAGCCTGCTAAAGAGCAGTCCTTAGAACTGATTCACGGCCCAGCTCTATCACTCAGGAACTGTAGACATCAGCATCTTTTTGTTAGGTGCTGCCATAGAGTCAGTTCCGGCTCATAGAGATGCTATGCACAACACAACGAAAACACTGTCTGGTCCTGCGCCATCCTCACAATTGTTAGGCTTGAGTCCATTGCTGCTGCCGCTGTGTCAATCCATTGTGTTGGATGTCTTCCTCTTTTTCACTGACCGCCACTTAACCAGGTATGATGTCATTCTCCTATAACATGTCTGAAATACGAGAGATGAAGTCTGGACATCTTGACTACTAAGGAGCATTCTGACTGTACTTCTTTCAACACAGATTTGTTTGTTCTTCTGACAGTTCATGGTACTTTTAATGTTCTCCAGCATATTTCAAATGCATCCATTCTCCTATGGTCTTCCTTATTCATTGTCCAACTTTCACATGCATATGAGACAGTGGAAAATACTATGCCTTTGGGTTAAGCACACCTTAGTCCTCCAACTGATATGGTTGCTCTTTAACACTTTAAAGAGCTCTTGTGCAAAAGATTTGCCGAATCATCATCTACATCTATATCTGCCTCGTGAGAAAGGGCCCTGGTAGTACAGTGGGTTCCAAGTTGGGCTGCTAACAGAAAGGTCAGCAGTTTGAATCTGTCCACCACTCTGCAGGATAAAGATGAGTCTGTCTGCTCCCTTAAAGATGTACAACCTTATAACCCTATACAGGCTTGCTATGGGTTGGGACCGACTCCTCAGCACACAACCACCACCACTACACCTCATGAGAAGGGACCATCCCTACCATAGCTGCTAGCACTTCATAGCTTATGAATGTGGCTGTTCATTGCAAGGGTACCAACAGAGTAATTATCTCACAGAATTATGATAAAGTGTCAACAGGAAAATAATGTCAAATGGAGAAACACTTTGGAGGCACTCCTGGGGGGACAAAGAGATGAGAAGTTGGAGGTGAAATAGCCCCATGTACTTCTGAGATCGTATAATAGCCCAGAAGTTAGGAGCACAGCATCTGCAACCCAATTAATTCACAGTGCCTGGGCTTCATTCTCACCTCTTCCACCTCGTTGTTCCTGCTCCTGTTATCAGTTGCTTCTGTACAAATTGGATAATGATAGTACTTTCTACATTGATGTGTCTTAAAAATTAAAAGAATAAAACATTGTCAAGCAATTAGAAGGTGGCACATGGGAAGCTTCCTAAGAGCACTTTAAACCAGTAAACCAGTTGCCCTTGACTTGATCCTGACTCTTGGTGACCTCGTGTGTGTCAGAGAAGAACTACATTCCCTAGGATTTTCAATGGCTGGTTTTTCAGAAATAGATCACCAGGCATTTGGTCTGAGGCACCTCTAGATGGACTCAAACTTCCACCCTTTCAGTTAGCAGGTGAACACATTAACCATTTATACCACCCATCAATTCCAAGATCATTTAGGAATAATCACCGTTATTGGTAGTAATGTGATGCTTGCTTTTTCAGGACCACAGATGTCTGTAATAGAATCTTCTCCATCACAGTTAGCCACAACATAGCCATAGATTCCAAGACCAACACTCTCATCGATCACTTCAAACTCATCTAAATGTATTAATTCTAAAGTGATTTTATTCCTCCCACCAGATGTCAACTACTTGAAGGCAAACTGAAAGGTTAGGCTGAGTTGGGCAGTAGTGTTTTGTCTCTCTCAGGCCTGACTGTTTACCACTTAAGCCCTGGCTGGCCAGAGCCAAAACAAGCACATATCAATGCAAACCTGCCAAGGACTTCACAGGCTGTTCTTTATAAACACAACTGATAGAGGTGTAAATACTTTGTAGCAATT